CTGCTTGCCTCCTCAATTCCCACCCAGTTAACTCACACACACACACACACACACGCGAATTCACACACACACACACACACACACACACACCAAATTGTGCAGGAGTACAAACCGAATTGTGGGCCGTATGCTGCAAGCGAATATGACTCGTGGTTCGATGCCATCAGCATGTGGATCACAGAGTCCAAGGGCTCGCTTCGCCGCTTCTTCAGCGTTGTCCTCAACCCCGTCTTCATGTTTGGCGTCCTGTTGCTCCTCTGTACGTACTGCGCAACACACAGCGGTGCCTTGCCATGCTGTGTGTCTGCGTGTGAACCCCATGTGCACATGCCTGCCCATCAAAGCTTCACGTGTGCCTCCACCCCTTCCTCGCCACAACAACAATAACAACAACAACAACAACAACAACAACAACAACAACAACAACAACAACAACAACAACAACAACAACAACAACAACAACAACAACAACACCAACAACAACAACACCAACAACAACAACAACAACACCAACAACAACAACAACACTCCCGCTTGTTTGTTTTGGTTGTTTGCTTCTTTCCTTCACCATGCTTGCTGTGGTGCAGGCATGTGGATTACGATGCTGCGCATTCGCGTGCAGAATGTGCGGCGAGTTGTCCGCGACACGGAGTGGGAGCTCAAGCAGACCCGTGAGGACAAGAAGATGCTTCTTGTCGCCCTTCAAGTCAAGGTTCGAGTGTTTGTTTTTGTGTGTGGTGTGTGTGTGTGTGTGTGTCTGTGTGTCTGTGTCTGTGTGTGTCTGTGTAAGCTTCTTTGCCTGTGTAAGCTTCTTTGCCTGTGCCTGCTGCCTCCTCTTGGATGCGCGTCTGTTTCCTCTCGCTTTCCACTTTCCCCGCCCTTCTCCTTGTTGTCGCATGCTCTCACAACCTTCATTGCTCTTGTCTATTCCAACCAACCAACATTGTCAATACAATTGCAGGGTGGGAGGGGCAACGCACTCGGTGCCCCATCGGGCGAGTCACTGGTGTGACGCCAAAGACACAGCACATTTCAAGACAAGACCCACTCCATGCACCTGCTGCAGCCCCAATCACCACCACCACACGCAAAACCCGCACACAAACACGCGCGCACGCATTGCAACACCCGCCATCTTCATACCCCTTGCTTGTCAATATTTGTGACTTTTGGACCACTGGAACAGGCCTTCGTCTGTCTGCATTCAGACACCTCACTCCGCTGCCAATTCCTCCTGTGCAATCTTGCTGTATGTTGCTTGCGTCCTGAGGGCGAGGTATCATCAATACAATCCACATGAAAGCGGTTAGGAGAGTTGAGGATGACTTTGCGCTTCGAGTGCATGTGTGTGTGTGTGTGTGTGTGTGTGTGTGTGTGTGTGTGTGTGTGTGCCTGTGTGTGTACGACATTCGCAAGTGTAATCGACGGCGCGCACAAACAGAGTTGGCGTTGTTTTCAGGGATGTTTGCTGTCAGTGCGCAACACACATCCCCACGCACCCATACACATACACACACCTGGTGTTGGGGCGCTGGAGATGCAAGTAGGTGGCGACAGCAAAGCCACCGCTGATAAACAGGTGGAAGGGAAGCTCCCACGCCTCCTTCTGTCGTGCCTGACCAGCCATGCGAGGCTGTTTGTGCAGAGGCAGGCACGCAAGGTGAACGCACATGAGAAGTGCAGGGCGTGAGTGAGTGGTAGCGAAGAAGTGGACAAACGCAGTGCTGTACGAGTGTTCACAACAAAGGAAACACTCGCAAACATGTACACATGCAGATGCGCACTCTCGTACACACACCACACACACACACACAAGTACACACAAGTGCACCCACACACACCACACACACACACACACACACCACACAAACACAAACACACACACACAATAAACCAACAGAAACACAAGTACACATCACGCAAACATGCACCCTTCACACCCAGCTGACCTTCTCAGCAAAGAGCCAGCCGTTGGCGGCGCTGTGCGCACGCCTCACGCTCCGCAGCACACCAAACATCCTTGTTGTCTTGCTTGGCTTTGTTGGCCTGTGTGTTGACGATTGTGAATGATCTTCATCAATTGTCGCATTTGGCCGCCCGTTGTTGGATATCGCAAGTTCAAGACACGCGAAAAAAAAAAAAAGCAGGCAGCTCAGCAAGCGAGGAAGGAAGGGAAGGCAGTTGGTTGAGGTCAAGGACGTGACAAGATGGCAGACAGCAACGGGGACACGACTGCTACTGCTGCTTCCTCGGGCGCACCGCCAGCCAAGAAGGCAAAGGTCTGTGTGATGTGTGTGTGTTTGTGTTTGTGTGTGTGTTTATGTGTGTTTGTGTGTGCGTATTCGTTGGTGCACATTCGCTGATGATAGCTGTTGCAGCTGGCTGTGAGTTACTTGTCCCGATCTCATGGCCGTCACTTGGAATACACAACGCAACACACCCCACCCCTGGTTCATTCACTCTTTGACGCACATGCACTTGCACACGCTACCACGCATGCATCGCACGCGATCTCATCGCTTCAGGCTGAGCGACGAGGTCGCCCCTTGAAGAAACCAAAGCTATGCGGCAAGTGCAAGTTGTCTTTCAAGTACACAAGGTCAGCGTGAAGGATATGTGTGTGCTCGGCGTTGTAATCTTCCAGTCTCCCGTGATCCCGATTCCACCGCTTCCACCGCTTCCACTGATTCCACGCTTCTCGGACCCACACTTCTCGTACCCCCCCCCTCCAACACACACACACGCACGCACACGCACACAACCTCCTGCCTTTCCCTTTGCTCACTTTCCTCTGCGCTGCCTCGCCGCAACACTCTCAAACTGACAGCTTGTGGCAAGCTCACATGAGGGAAGTTCACGGGGCCAAGCTGAAAGCTGAATTCTCCTGCCCCCACTGCAAGAAGACATTCACACAAGCGCTCGGCCTCAAGTACCATCTCAACAACAAAGTGTGCCAGGTACGTCTGCAACACCAACGATGGCTGATTCCTCGCTTGCGTTACAACATAGACAACACACACACGCACACACATACACAGTACACACACACACACACACACACACACACACACACAGTACACACACACGCACACACACGCACACGGTGCACAGTAACGCTTACATACACGCCTTTTCCCTCCCCTCCCGCACTCACACTTCCTCTCCCTCTGTTCATCAGCGACGGAAGGAACGGAAGAACGGCAAGAAGGCAGCAGCGCAGCAAGACGGCAGTGCGACTCCGAGCAAATCCACCACTGATCGCGCTGTCCAGTCCCGTCTCAGACCGCGGCACAAGAAAGTGAACTATGCACGTACGTCACGACTGAGTTTGTTCAACCAAGCTTGTGCTTCGTGGCCGTCTCTTCGTTCTGTTTCTCTGAATCGCGCGCGCGCACACACGTACAATTGCACGGGCGCACACACACACACATAATTGCACGGGCGCGCACACACACACACACACACACACACACACACACACACACACACACACACACACACAATTGCACCCCTCATACACACTCTCATACACACCCACCCGCGCATGCATGTAGAAGCGGCAAGCGGGGAGACGGGGGACGACGACAAGGACGAAGACTTTGATCCAAGCACTGCCGCCGCCAGCAGCAAAGCAGACGAGAGCACTCCCAAGGCAGACGGGGCAGCAAAGGCGAAACCACAGCGTAAGAAGCAGCGCAACCGGCCCAGCTTCCCACGCGGCCTGACGAAGAAGATTGGGAACTTCAGTCCACACTCTGACCCATCATCGTTCCGCCGCCTCCTGCAGCAGCTGCGCGACTTGGGTGCAGATATGATGGCCTGGGAGGGGGCCGCCACCATCACCACCATCTCGGGCAATGCTGGTGATGGTGCTGGTGCTGGTGCTGGTGCTGGTGATGGTGCTGGCGAGACAATCAGGAGCGCACCGTCCACAGCAGCTACTGCACCCGCTGCAGGCCCCTCAACAACAGCAACAGCACCCGCACCCACGTCCACATCCACACCCACGTCCACATCCACGAACGCACGTGCAGCAGCGGTAGGACCATCAGCCGCACGCATGTTGCAGTCACCACTTCCATTGCAGCTGGGTGATGAAACACACATCATCCCACCGCTCGCATCAAAGTCCTTTCCATCCGTCAACAAGGTTGCCTACTCGCATCATCAGTCCTCTGTACCGCACTGACCCATCTGCTGCACGCTCCTCCACATGCCATCCTCGCCCTCGTCCTGTGCCATTCACGATTGTGTGCGTGTGTGTATATGTGTTTGCTAACGCCTGTCTCTTGCCTGCTGTCCTATGAATGATAGCTGTGCGTTGGCTTCACGGGCAAGCGTGTCGTTGCCTGCGCCACCTGCCCCTACCCCGGTACGTCACCCAGACTTCCTGTGCACACTTGCATGACTGGCGCGTATGTTTCCTGTTGTTGCGTTGCCTGTTTCTCGGCCACTTCATTCCGCGCATGTGCAATGGACACATCCTCTCCCTCTCATTCACTCGCGCACTCTCTCTCCCTCTCTCTCACACACCACTCACTCTACTGCTTCCCGCCTCCCCTGCAGTGTCGCCGCTGCATGTAGCAATCGGCGTGTCTTCGCCCGAGCCGACGCGGACAACAGAGCACCGGCTGAGCGGCGTGCTCCCCGCGCAAGGACGGGGCGACTGTATGCAGATGTGGACGCTCGCGACAGCAAGCGATGATGCGCAACAACAACAACAGCAGCAGCATCAGACACAGCCTGCTCAAGATGCCTCGGCATCGGCGCCCTCATCGTCATCATCAGCGACTCGGAAAGCGACAAGTGCGAGCAATGACAATCACAACAACAACAACAACAACAACAACAACAACAACAACAACAACAACAACAACAACGGCAGAAGCAGCAGCAGCGACGGCGGCGCTGATGATGCGATACCAAACCTTCACCACGCATACACGTGTCGGTGTGGCCACGGTCGGCTGATGTGCATGACGTGGCGGTTTCACGGCCGCAACGCACCTGCGTCGCTCGGGCTGATGGCGATGGGATTTTCCTCTGGCACGCTTGCCCTCGTTGCACCGCCACATGCGCGCACACTGGTCAGCAGCTGCTCGTATCGCGGCCTTGTGTGTGTGTGTGTGTGTGTGTGTGTGCGTCTGTGTTTGTGTCTGTGTGTGCGTCTGTGTATCTGTCTGTGTCTGTGTCTGTCTGCGTCTGTCTGCGTCTGTCTGTGTTTGTGTGCACGCCCCTTACTCGTCTTGAACACGGCGCTCTTGTCTATCACCTCATGCCTTTTCAGGCTGCCGGCGCTGTGATTGACTTGCCAATCGTTGGCTACTTGGAGACGCTCGAGGAGGTTCCGTTATCCGTTGACTGGTAACCCATTTCCACTAGCAAACACACACACACGCGCACACACACACACACACACACACACACACACACACACACACACACACACACACACACACACACACACACACACACACACACACACACGAACCATACACACACAAGCAACCCACAACACACACTTCTTTTCTGACTTTGGTACCTCCTCTTGCCCATTCCCTTGTCGCTGTCCAGGGTGGTACCGGCAGCGTGTTTGTTTGATGCGGCAAATGGGTACAACAAACCCATCACCGTGGTCAAGTGGAAGCCGAGCCGTGAGCCCGTTCTGGCCACCACAGGCCACACCAGAGACGTCAAGGTGCGCACTGTGTGTGCTCCTTGGGTCGGCTTGCCGCCGAGGCTGTGTCTGCCCTGGAGTGTGTGCGTGCGTGTGTGTGTGTGCGTGTGCATGTGTGCGTGTGTGCGTGTGTGTGCGTATATGTGTGCGTTCACTCCTTTCAGGGCTTGGCAAGGGCGTCTTCTTCCCCTCCCATCGCTTTGCGATGCTCATTCCAATTGTCCTGCACTCCTGCCATACCTCTCCTCCCATCTCTCCCTCCCTCGTGCCTGAATGCATACGACAGCTTTGGAAGGTTGCCGTGCACACCGCAACCACGAGCAGCGGAGAGAGCATGACGACCATCAGCGTGACGCCGACGGTGGAGGTGCGCATATCTCCACAGCCGTTCTGGTGGTGGAAGTACGGGCTGTCGTGGCCGCACCACCGCGACGGGCCCTGTGTTGCCGGCGATGATGAGCTCATTCGCGTGATCAACGCCGACCCGCGCAACACCCCTCCCGCGCCTCCGGCCGCCCGCGTGCCAGGGACCATCTTCGCGCTGGGATGCAACTCGTGGCACAACATCATCTGCTATGGTGGCAGCGAGGGCTGGCTCAACATTTCCGTGCTCACAGACGGAACAGAGGTACTGCTATTGCTGACACCGCAAATTCTATGACGTGACGTACTGTTAGGGGGATTGCTCATGTTGTGTATTTGTGCGTGTGTGCGCGTGTGTTTGTTGTGAACTTCCCTTTGCGAACCATGCTTTGCTTTTATTTACTCACACAAACTCGCTTTCTACACACACACACACACACACACACACACACACACACACACACACACACACACACACACACACACACCCTTCAACACAACAACCAACGCACAACACAACAACCAACGTGCACAGCCGTTACCAAAGCCGCAGCAGCTGCACTTTGCGGACAACGCCGTGGTGACTGCGCGCGTGTTGCGTAATGACAGCGCTGCCACGCCTGCCAACCGCAACGCTGCTCGCGAGCAGTGCAAGTTGGTTGTGCACTGTGACATGCACGAACGGTACACGATGCCGCGGGTTGAGGCGCTCGGTTACCATGACGACGTCAAGCGACTCATGTTCCCGACCCCGCTCCAGTCCATCACCGCTGTACGTACACATTAGTTGTGTCTGCCTGTGCCTGTCTGTGCGTGCGTGTATGTGTGTGTATGTGTGTGTGTGTGTGTGTGCTGGAATAAGATGCGTAGTCACAACTCCCCTCTGTTCTTCCGCCAATCCTTCACGCCCTTCAATCCCCCCTACCCCATGCCCTCTGCGCGGTATCCCAGATTGACTGTTCGATGAACGAGAGGTACAAGGACTGGATCATCGCCTGCAACGCCGCCGGCCACATCTTCTGTGCGGACTTGAGCGAGAACGTCGCTCAGGCCAGGAAACGCCTCTCAAAGTTTGGCTGAGGGGCGGCTGGACACAAGATCTTGTGTGTGTGTGTGTGTGTGTGTGTGTGTGTGTGTGTGTGTGTGTGTGTGTGTGTGTGTTTTGCGTTTTGTGAACGCGCGTGCGAGCCCCCCCCCCCCAAATCTGTTGTCGATACATCTGTGCGCCCACGTCTGCGTTCCACTCGCACTTTTCCTCTTCCTCTTCTTCCCCTCTGCTGGGTTTTTTATCACTTCGTCTGTCTGCCTGCTGTTCATACCTGTCACCCTCATCGTCCCTGATGTGACCGCTGATTCTGTTTCCCTGCTGCTGCTTTCCGTGCATAGCTGATGGTGTGTCTTGGATATAGCGAAACGTGTAAACAAACACAATCATAGTGGAAGAGAAAACCCAGGGGAGA